TTGTATGTGTTCAATGAAGCAAATGATTTATCTTGTAATAATATCCTTGATAATGTATCTCAGAATCCCATACTGGGTTTCAAAACCAACTCATGGAGAGATTGCACAGTCTGATACACATTTGCAAACCTGCCAATAAATCTTTACAGAAAACAAGATGTCAGAAAATCAATATAAGCACTCCTATGAACTGGGTGCCAAACTTTGATCAAGATCTGAAGCTAATAGAAAATCTGTTTAGTTCAAAGTTATCAAATCAAAAACAATACATAAAAAATACATAAAAAGCAAAACATTTCATCCACATTTTAAAAAGAAAATTGTTTCATTAATTTTTTATAGACACCTGTACAAAATACTTGGACAAAAGCCAGCTAAGATTTTCTGTTATCTTGCATGTTTTATGAATCTATTCACGTCTAAATGCAGCACTTTTTTTTTGCAATGAGGCATTTGTTTTTATACTAAAATATCTGAATTACTTTGAATAAAGCTGGAAATTATGTCCCTTAAAATAATTAAACAAATAAGGCACAAATGTTTTTGTAAGATATTTACATCTTTAAAGGACATTCGGTAGACTGATTCCCCACTGTTAGTTCAACCCCAAAACTTTTTTGTATTCAAAATTAATTATGACAATGTATATTTATATTGAAACAAACTATGTTAAAGGGAATTATATTATATAACAAAGGGCAAGGTCACCAGAGTTCAACTATGTTCATTGAAATTGTCATTGCATCAATTGTATATCAATTATCAAAATTATATGATTAAATTTCATTGAAATTATCATTGCATCAATTGTATATCGATTATCAATATTATATGATTCATTTTCTTTGAAATTATCATTGCATCAATTATATATTGATTATTAATGTTATATGATTCAATTTCATTGAAATTATCATTGCATCAATTATATATCAATTATTAATGTTATGATTCAATTGATTCAATTTCATTGAAATTATCATTGTATCAATTATATATCGATTACTAATGTTATATGATTCAATTTCATTGAAATTATCATTGCATCAATTGTATATCAATTATCAAAATTATATGATTAAATTTCATTGAAATTATCATTGCATCAATTGTATATCGATTATCAGTGTTGTATGATTCAATTTCATTGAAATTATCATTGCATCAATTGTATATCGATTATCAGTGTTGTATGATTCAATTTCATTGAAATTATCATTGCATCAATTATATATCGATTATTAATGTTATATGATTCAATTTCGTTGAAATTATCATTGCATCAATTGTATATCAATTATCAATATTATATGATTCAATTTCATTGAAATTATCATTGCATCAATTATATATCGATTATTAATGTTATATGATTCAATTTCATTGAAATTATCATTGCATCAATTATATATCGATTATTAATGTTAGATGATTCAATTTCATTGAAATTATCATTGCATCAATTCTTTGCAACCCAGAAATACTCTAACGTGCACTCTGACTCTAATTTCAACTTAAATTTGATCCAATGACTAAAACACATACAGGACAGACATGTTATCCAATCAGAACAGCTCACTGCAAACATGTTATCCAATCAGAACAGCTCACTGCAAACGTGTTATCCAATCAGAAACAATCTTTCATCTGTATATTGAAAAAGAAAATATGCTAAAAATGTCTTCAATTTGTGTAATACTAACTACAGATATGAAATTGTCTTTTCTTTTTTACAGGATTTTCGGCACATGTTGGTAGAGAATTTCCGATTTATCTTCTCTTACTTAGTGAGATCGTGTCAGCGAGAGAATCTTCAAAAAGCTCTGACATATGTAGAGGTAACCATGGTTATTTACCGGATTCTACCGTAAATTCGCCCGGGGCTGTTAAACGGCAGTTTGGGTTTTTAAAAAAATAACATGGGACCAAGAAATCATGATTTTTCGGCAGTTTTTTAAGGTGTTATTTCAATCTTTCCTGAAACCGAAATAGAGTCTCATTTAAGTTTTACCATAGTATGATGTTTATTGTGACTTGCGTGAATGGTAAGCTTTGTTTCGACAATGAGCTGTTATCACTGTAAACAATGTTAAATTATTCTTCAAATGTTCAGTTTATATTTTGAAAACAACTACTGGTAATCATGCTGTTTTCCCATCAAAATCCAAGCCAAAAGTTCGTACTAATGTACAACATCAGCAAATCTTTTTTGTGTTGAGTTCAATAAAATTAACATATTTAAATTAGCTATGGTAATTTGAACACGTTGACATCATCCATCATAGAACACCGTCTCAGGTCAAAACACGTCAGATATTCTCCAGCATCAAGAATCATTCGCTTACAATTCAACAAATTTATTTTTTGTACTTTATTATGATCAACAATTGTGAAACGCAGCATGATAGGATTGCGCAACTGCGATTCATGTTCGTTTTTTGCATACCAGGTTCGTTAATGTGATTTAAAAATATATATAAAATTTTAGATTAGCTTCTGCAATAGTTTCTTCTGTCTTGGGTGGTCCAACTGCCGGCATTGAAAGTTGTCACGTAGGTGGATTTTTCAATGAAATAAGAAGCCACCCAAAAAAATATTCGATGATCATTTTTTGAAATTTTGAACCCCAAATAAGGGAACACACCAGCCATGAAATCGAATTTGAATCATATCATTTGAATACATGTTTTATTGAATTTCTGTTAAAAGCACATTCATAGATTGTTCTCATTTTGGTTTTCTACTTCATGTATGTATTTCTAAAGATGCAACAAAATAATTATATAAATATTACTGTAAAATACTTTATTTTCACTGGAATTTATTTTCACTGAAAAGACTTTTTAAGTCTGTTATATGGAATTTATTTTCACTGATTTTTGGCGAGTTGAATGTAAAAGATAGGAAAACAAGTATATTCGCTGGATATTATTTTCACTGAATCATTCCTTTAGCGAAAATAGCGAAAATTAATTCCAAGCGAAAATAAAGTATTCCACATGCACACGCACGGCCCCAGTCCAACGATAACAATACATGCTATAATTGCAAAGGCTCATGGGTAGACATGGGTTTGTAAACATGACATGCTATGGACGTCTGCTGCATGCCGAGTGACAACTCCCCCGCTTTAAACCAAAGATAAGTGTATGCAACTAGTGTGATATATGATGAAGACCCAAATTTGAAGTCATGTGAATTACGAATGATCACAGAATTGCTCCACAAACATATATTTACGTGGAAATACTAATTTATTTGAAAATTTAAATTAGTGAGTCTGTGCGAGAACTGGTTTGTGTTCATCTCGGACTGTTGCACATTTTTGCACGCGTGTTTTATTGGTGCATCTTCTGTTTTTGAAACAATTTCACTTATTTCTGTTTCCAAGCATCAACCACTTTCTGTGCTGTTACTGCTTAAAAATATATTTGTTTTTAAATACACACATGGAATGTAATATTCATCACACATCACTGTACTGGAATATCTATTAAACCTGCATATCCTTGTCTTATAAATATTGGTATGACACTATTTAAATTGTAAGAAAAATTGTAGGTATTCAGGAAATCTATGCATACTTTGACTTTACAGAATCAGACAGAGATTGAGCTGAGTAGCTTACTGCGTAGTGATTATCAAAACTTACATAATGAGTTACTCCTTCATATCAGTACAAGTTACCCACAAGTATTCAGCGGCTTAGCAATGCTAGCATCTCAAGATGAAACAAAACCACAGAATATAACCACTGCGGAAGCCATGTCAGATTTCTTGCAACCAAGATTGTTGGGTATACTG